AACACCCTTTTCCAAACAATGTGATTACAACTGCTTAAAACTGGTCGCATAGTGACTCCTAGTGAAAGAAGATCTTTACTGCAAGTGTTTATAAATACAAGGACAGGTTCATGTAGGCTTATGGTCATACTGGGTGTGACAAAGATAACATTAGAGAAAAATAAAAAGTAAAAAGAAATAATCTGTTCCATCTGATCTAAAGCTACATCAGCTCATCTAAGGGAGGGACACGATGCTTGAGTCCACAAAGTAAATAAAGTGGAATGAGAAGAATAGAGAGGCTGAACTGGATGAGAGATAACAGTGGGGGTAATGTAATTATCTGCTGGGCTTGCGTCTTTTTTTGCGTGTGCTTTCGTGTTTGAATGGAACCCACAATCTCATTGTGTGCGCTGAGAATCTGTAAGGGGCTATTTGGTCTAGTGAAGGCAGATAAGAGGAGGTGATACCAGGGGGAGGCCGGTGGACGCGCTGCCTATCTACCTCCCAGCGCTGACGGAACGGGGTCACTCAGGTGCACTCTGTGGGGACGGGCGGAGGGGTCGAACAGGAGGAGATAAAGTGGAAGAGAGGAGATAGAGCTGAAAGTGATGAACAAGGAAAGGAGGAGATGGAGTGGATGAGAGACATACTGTAAGAACCCTCCTAAGAACATTTGCAGCTCAAAGCAGGAGTGAGAAAGCAGTGTGTGCATTTTTCATTGCTGCACTTTAGACATGTGTGAACTCTTACCTCTCTTTACCTGTGCTCTACAAAAAAATATATATAAAAAATAAACCCACCCACAAAGCGATTGTTTTCACGCTCACACGCCCTGACTAACACAGAGGATCAAGCCAGGGAGCAAACTGGCACCAGATATTATCGAGCGCCCGCTGCTGTTTCTTGTTTCATTCCCATTCCCTGTTCTTCACAGAGACAAGGTGTTCCTAATCCCCTCATGTCCCCCAGACTGAGGGAACAACAAACACTGCAGTCTGAAGGGTCAAATCACGTTCACAGCAACCACTGATTGGTTCAAAAGTCCGCGTCAGAAAAAAAAACAAAAACAACAAACGCTGATTTTATGGAATATTTAATCTGCATGAAAAAGGTATCTATTATATAAATATACATAGTGAGGAAAATAAGTATTTGTACACCCTGCTATTTTGCAAGTTCTCCCACTTCGAAATCATGGAGGGGTATGAAATTGTTATTGCAGGTGTATCTCCTCTGTGAGGGACAAATCTAAAAAAAATAAAAAATCCAGAAATCACAATATAGGATGTTTTAACAATTGATTTAATAATAATTGAACTTTATTGATCTCAGATTGGAGAAATTTACCTCTGCATTTCACCCATCCCCTTGGGGTGCAGTGGGCTGCCATTGTGCGGCGCCCGGGGAGCAGTGTGGGGTTAATGGTCTTGCTCAGGGACCCAGAGTGGCAGTCTGTGGGAGTGGGACTTGAACTCAGCACCTCTGGAACCCAAGCACAATGCCCTAACCACTGAGTCACCACTCCCCCCTTTTTGTATGATACAGATGCAAATAAGTTATTGAACACCCGTCTATCAGCTAGAATTCTGACCCTCAAAGACCTGTCTGCCTTCAAATATCCACGTCCACTTATTATCCTAAATTAGATGCACCTGTTTGAGGTCGTTAGCCTCATAAAGACACCTGTCCACCCCATGCAATCAGTAGGAATCCAACTGAGACCAAAGAGCTGTCCAAAGACTTGGTGAAAAAATGGAAGAAGCTAAACATGAATGTCAATTTCCCTCGGACTGGGACTCGATGCAAGATCTCACCTGGTGGGGTCTCAATGATCCTAAGAAAGGTGAGAAATCAGCCCAGAACTACATGGGAGGAGCTGATCAATGACCTGAAAAGAGCTGTGACCACCGTTTCCAAGGTTACTGTTGGTAATACACTAAGACATCATGGTTAGAAATCATGCATGGCATGGAAGGTTCCCCTGCTTAAACCAGCACACGTCAAGGCCCGTCTAAAGTTTGCCAATGACTGTTTAGATGATCCAGAAGAGTCATGGCAGAAAGTCATGTGGTCAGATGAGAGCAAAATAGAACTTTTTGGTCATAATTCCACTAACTGTGTATGGAGGAAGAGGAATGCTGAGTACCATCACAAAAACACCATCCCTACTGTGAAGCATAAGGATGGAAGCATCATGCTTTGGGGGTGTTTTTCTGCTAATGGGTCAGGGCGACTGCACTGCATTAAGGAAAGGATGACCAAGTATTGAGAGATTTCGGGGGACCAACATCCTTCCCTCAGTTAGAGCATTGAAGATTGGTTGAGGCTGGTTCTTCCAACATGACAATGACCCGAAGCACACAGCCAGGATAACCAAGGAGTGGATCTGGAAGAAGAATATCAAAGTTCTGGCGTGGCCTAGCCAGTCACCCAGACCTAAACCCAATAGAGATTCTTGGGAGGGAGTTCAAACTCTGCGTTTCTAAGCAACAGCACAGAGACCTGACTTATCTAGAGAAGATCTGTGTTGAGGAGTGGGCCAAAATCCCTCCTGCAGTGTGTGCAAACCTGGAGAAAAACTACAGGAAACATTTGACCTACAAATGCTACTCTACCAAATATTAAATTTTTTTTTCTCAGCTGTTCAAATACTGTAAGTATTTGAACAGCTGATTCATACAAATAAATACTTTAAAATGATTTAAAAAAATCTTATATTGTGATTTCTGTTTTTATTTTTATTATTATTATATATCTCACAGTGGACATGAACCAACAACGACAATTTTAGACCCCTCCATGTTTTCTAAGTGGGAGGACTTGCAAAATAGCAGGGTGTTGAAATACCTATTTTTCTCCCTGTATATTGCGATTCTAAGTAGGAATAGTGTAAATGTGAGTAGCTAAAATGCCTTAGTTCTATCTATAATACTAATATGACTAGTCCGCTTTATGTAGCCCCATTATGTTGTTGACAGTCAAAATGTGTTTGTAGGTATATAATACTGCATTTTGGATAGACATTAAATTTCAGTTATCAGGAAATCCAATTTAACTTTTTATATAATTTGTAGTTGATCTCTGTAATGACATTTCTACTGGTATAAATGTATTTATGATGTCAATAATTTGATATCTAGATGTCTAGAATGCTTTATTGATTTTTGATATCTGAACTGGTGATTATGACTAGTATTAACTGGATTATGAAGATCTGAAATTAGAGTTTATCCTCATCAGAATTCAGTTTTAGATATCCAGAATCAGAAGAATATTATCTTAGATATCTGGAAGTAAAAGCTCAATACGATAAATGGAAAACCTGATGTCCTCTGTTCTAGTAAGAACCACATTTAAGATATATTCCTGTCTAATTTAGATAGAAATAATGTTATTAAAGCTGTCTGAAATTTTCCTTTTGAAAAGGAAGAAAATGGCCAGCCACAGTGACTACGGGGTCATATTGAATGCAAGTTTTCAACCACGAATCCCTTCTTAATAACCGATCATACTTATTACCACAACTCAACCACAATCACTGGTGTCAAAAATACACATATTTGTTATTTAAGTAGAAGTATAGATACTGCAGTTTTAAAACACTCTGGTAAAAGTTGAAGTATCAACTTGACCTCTTTAATATACTAAAAGTGAAAAAGTATGTACTCCAAAAACTACTTAAAGTATAAAAGTATAAAGTAACCTTTACTAAAAACCTCTTGTTGGTCTCTGTCTCCATCTCCCGATACGCTCTTACCTGTGTCCGACCTTTTAGACATTTCCACGTCTTTTACTGAATCCTACATTGTAGCATGGCATAGACAATTCATGTTTGCAGTTTGAAGAACACCTGCTTGCTTCTGATGATTTCCTTTAGCTAACCAATGAGTGTTTGCGTTATATGACTCATCCAATCACACTAGTTTTCAATAGATGTGGATGGCGGCAATGATCTGCATTGGATGGCGCACATGACATGAAATAAATATTTATAAACATTAAACCGAAGCCAAGAGTAACCAGTAACGTTTGTTTTAAAAATAAAGGAATAGAAAGTAAAGATACCTGTGTGAAAATGTAATGAGTAGCAGTCAGAAGTAGGAAGAAAAATAAGTAATGTCGAAAGTATAGATACCTAAAAAGTGTACTTAAGTACAGTAATGAAGTATTTGTACTTCGTTACTTGACACCTCTGAAAACAGGATAATAAAACTTTGTGATTTTTAATATGAATAAGATGACTATGTACTGAGAACAACTAGGACTTAGAAAAAAAAAGCAAAAAGATTGAAATTAGTAAGTAAATGTTCTTGTGATATCCCAAATATGAATTATACAAATAACTGACTAATGACTATGTGCGGTACACTTTCTTTGGGGTCTCACACAGAATTCCCATTTCCCATTTGTTAATAACGAAAACATATAAATAACAATATAAATCTTATTATGAATTTTGCTTCCCTAAAGTAAAATAGAACAGATAGGTTTTTTCAGTTTGATTACATCACACACCATATTTGATGAATAAACAAAGCAGGAAGTTGGTAAATTAGACAATAGAAAACATGAGGAGACATTTTTAACCAGGAAATGCTGCCAGTGAAATGCTGGTAAGTTGTGCATTAAGTGTATCCATAATAGCTCCCATATCTGATCATATTATCTTTAGGGACAATGTTTTAGCTTTGTTTTAATTCTCTAAACATTTTGTAATGCACCTAAAACATATAACATTATATTTGCAAGTCATTTTAGGAATCCCAGAAAATGGTTTTGCATAGATTTATATTTTTTCTATTGATTTTTAGAATACTGTTTTGACTAATACAAAACTATTTTAAAATATTTTGATTAAAAGTTAATATATCTAAGTTTTATTATATGTTCCAATGGGATTTCATGTCACTAATGAAGAATAATCCCAAATTATGGTATGTTTATTATTATCATTCTCAAATTATAAGTCAGTTTTAACAGCAATAACACACACATGCATAGAAAAGGACAGACCTTACCTTTGCTATATCCTTTGTATTCTTTAGTTAGCACATACTTCTCATCTTCACGGGTTGCAAGTTTGCTGAGGATCGGAGCGACACTTATTCTCACTTTACAGCCGGCCAGCTAATGCTAGAGCTGTTACGGCTTTATCTTAAGCGGGTAATGTATTTTTAAGTCAATGTTGTTCTTATTGCAGCTCCCCGAGTCGTTTTTCCAGTGTATCTTTCTGTCAAGCGGCTAAGTTTTCCAGCTAGCTGCTGCAAACGCTACACGTCGCTTAGCAACCACAAGCTACTCTTATGAGGCTAACCAGCTAATTCATTTATAATTCAAATAATAGCAGTTGTTTGACTCAGTACACGGGATTTATGTAGTGACTCAAATAGATTAACACATGACAATATTTTCATTAATATCCAATGAAGCTTTTTATTGAGATTAGTTAGTTCCTTTTCAGACAAGGGCTCACATTCCCGATACTAAACTTCAACTCCCAACATGCTCCGTCTTTCCGTATAACGCGAGAAGTGTCGTAACGAAATTAGGCTTTAAATAGGTGTGACTTCAGGCTTCATTCAGAAGTGGAGCTCAGTTCGACTTGTCCTGACAAAATGGTGAGTAACAGGAGATAAAACAGAATATGCTTTAGTAAGGAACTATTTAACTTTAAATATGTATTTTCAAGAAGAGTGAATCATGTTTTCTTCTTGTAGTTGGTTGTAAATCATGCTTAACTTTGAATAACTTAGTAAAAATGTAGTTAGTAGTTATTTATTTCTCATTGAAATTATTATTTTTTTTTTTTGTGGGAGGGTTTATTTTAAGGTAATGAATGAAGTGAGTGGTTGACATGTGAATAATCCTAAATATATCCTATTTTTTATGTAACAGTGGGTAATGGAGGCCAGAGGGTCTATTTATATACTGGCCCCCTGCTCTTGTTAATCCAGCTTGAAAAAAAAAACAAAAAATAGACACCTTCACTATTTGTGTTTAAAAAAAAATATAAAAAAAGCATTATAATTCATACTAATATTTTTTCTCTGTTTGTATTTTTAAGGCTGAGGCTATCAGAGTCCTGGTGACAGGCGCCGCTGGCCAGATTGCGTATTCTCTATTGCTGAGCATCGCCAAGGGAGATGTTTTTGGCAAAGATCAGGTAAAGATGGACCTTATCTCCCCCTAACAACCCATTTAAAACCATTATTACATTAGGTGGTGTAAAGGTGGCATCACACTATGAAGGATATTGACAGGTGCAAAGGGCCCGCTGTGAATGCAGAGAATGCCATATTTTGAAATGGGTGGAACGGAACAGATGTCAGCTATGTTGGAGTTGAACAAGTTCCACTCGCTCACTCATGTGGCCTCTGATGAAAGAGGATTGTCCTTGAAGTCAGTGAGCAGGATCTTCGGCCAAGAGTCTTAGTGCATCTTTAAAACCACTTGATCCGTTTGGCACACATCTTTGTCTTACAGCTTACGTGTCTGAAACAAGTCCCTTACATTACACTTAATGATTAGACACAAACCATTTAACCAAATATGTTTTGTTATGTTTAATCTAATATCAAATATGTCCCATTTCATTTACCAGCCAATCATCTTGCTCCTTTTGGACATAACTCCTATGCTGCCAGTCTTAGAGGGGGTAGTCATGGAGCTTCAGGACTGTGCCCTTCCACTTCTGAGAGGTAAATATTTAAATTTTAGGATAAAAGAAATAGTAATCAAATTGATAAGATAGAATAAATTTAGAAACTGCCCTAAAATATGTAAAAGACCAGTTTATGGCAGAAATCCATGCAGCAGTTTTCAAGTCCACTATTGATATTGTGGTCTGACCTATGAATGATTATTATTACTATTCTATTTCCCTGTGCTTTAGTCCTGCTTCCTATTTCGGTCTTTTATTTTACATGGCTCAAGAAGCTTAGAAAGTAGATCATGAGTAGTTTGTTTATATCTCTAAGGATGATTTATTTAAAATCCTCTAATCAAAGTAGGGAAGAAAAGAGGCCAGGTTGGGTACAAACTCAGGCATGTTCAGGACAAAACATCAGTAAAACTTTCAGAGTATGCAACGTAGCCAAATGATGAGCATGCTGCAATTAGGTGGAGAGTTGTTCAAGTCAGGTTCTGTTGTGTAAACTTCACTTTATTAAAGGGAGTGACTTTCAGCTTTCCTGTAAGGTTCCCTGATTATGCTTTTTTAGCCTGATATCAAGAGATACCAGCCTATTTTTCTTCCTTTGTAAAGTTGACATAAATAAACTATAAGGAAACATTTAAATTGGAGAGAAAGTTTAGTGAATAATTTATTATTATAAGTTTATTGGTTGTGTTACTAAACCTGCTAATTATGGCAGCTATCTGTTCCTGAGTACTTGGGAGACATTTAGATTTTGACGTATATTAGGTGTCGCCATAGTAACCTGCCGACATGGGATGGGTGGCGAGGGGCCAAATCCATTGTTAAACGGCCCCGTCTGTTGCCTTGTTTGGACTGGGACTGAGAGGCCCCAGTATTATCCAGCTGCACACGCAAAGGCAGCTCTTTAGGACCCAACAGGGACGGACTGATACAGTTCTGGGTCTGTATCAGAAACGTAAAGAGTCAATTAAGGCTTATCTAGTACTGAGGGATTTTTCGTTTTTAATTCCCAAACTGCTTCATTTGTGGCCTATTATTTATATATGCAGGAACATTTTTAAATTAAAAGCAGGAACAGTTGACAGATAACTTGGCAATCTCTTTTTTTGGCTTTTATTGTAAAAGAACAAAAACACAAAAATAAAACATTGGAGCCACACAGAACATAAAACCATAGCCGATTTATTTCTCCTTTCACAGACGTTGTGCCCACTGACAAGGAGGAGGTGGCCTTCAAAGACCTTGATGTGGCCATCCTGGTGGGCTCCATGCCCAGGAAGGAGGGCATGGAGAGGAAGGACCTGCTAAAGGCCAATGTGGCCATCTTCAAGAGCCAAGGAGCCGCATTGGATAAGTATGCCAAGAAGACCGTCAAGGTAATATTTAGTGATTCATTCTACTTTCAAACAGAACCATTTGAGCAGCAGAAGCAGCCGGTTTACATGCAAAGCCTATCAAGCCATCAGAAGGTCTTGCAGCACATTTCAAGCAGCATGAGCAGCGCCTGATGACCATATGAGGCGCCTGCAGTGCTTCAAAGCAACATGCTGGAGTTGGAAAATCTGAACTTTTGCATACAAAATATGTTTGCTTTTATTATACTGGTGGCAGCAGTGTGTACCACGTACCTGAAAAATGCTAAAAAATAAATAAATATATATGTATGTATATATATATATATATATAGGCAAGGCAAGGCAAGGCAAGGCAAGGCAAATTTATTTGTATAGCACAATTCAGTACAAAGACAATGCAAAGTGCTTTACATGATTAAAGTACAGGAAGATAAAACAGAATCAAAGCAAGTAGGAAAAAATAAAAAACAAATAAAATAAAATAAAAAATGCAGAAACAAAAAAAGAATATTAAAAACAGTTGGATTAAAGAAAACATGTTTTTGTTGAATTATTTAACTAGAACAGTCGAAGGCAATCCTAAACAAATGTGTTTTTAGTCTTGATTTAAAGGAACTCAGGCTTTCCGCACTTTTACAGTTTTCTGGAAGTTTGTTCCAGATAAGTGGAGCATAGGAACTAAATGCTGCTTCTCCATGTTTAGTTCTGGTTTTAGGTCTGCAGAGCAGGCTGGAGCTAGAAGACCTGAGTGGTCTGGAGGGTTGATAAACTAATAGCAAGTCTGTGATGTATTTAGGTGCTAAGCCATTCAGAGATTTATAGACTAACAGAAGTATTTTAAAGTCTATTCTCTGAGATACAGGGAGCCAGTGTAAGGACTTTAGAACTGGGGTGATGTGCTCTACTTTCTTAGTCTTAGTGAGGACACGGGCAGCAGCGTTCTGGATCAGCTGCAGCTGTCTGATCCACTTTTTAGGCAGACCTGTGAAAACACCGTTGCAGTAATCAATTCGACTAAAAATAAACGCATGGATTAGTTTTTCCAGATCATGCTGAGACATTAGTCCTTTAATCCTGGAAATGTTCTTCAGGTGATAGAAAGCCGACCTTGTAATTGTCTTTAAATGCTTTTGGAGGTTCAAGTCTGAATCCAGCACTACACCTAGACTTCGGGCCTGATCAGTGGTTACTAGCTGAAGCGACTGAAGCTGTGTGCTAACTTTAGATCTCTCCTCTATTGGTCCAAAGATTATTACTTCAGTTTTGTTTTTATTCAGTTGAAGAAAATTATGGCACATCCAGGCATTGATTTCTTCTAAGCATTTCCTCAGTGCTTGAATTGGTTCATAGTCACCTGGTGACATGGTGATGTAAAGCTGGGTGTCGTCTGCATAGTTATGGTAGCTGATGTTGTTGTTTTTTATTAACTGAGCAAGAGGGAGCATGTAGATATTGAATAGGAGGGGACCCAGAATGGACCCTTGGGGAACCCCACATGTGATTTTTGTCATCTCTGATGTAAAGTTGCCTACTGACACAAAAAAGTCCCTGTCCTTTAAGTAGGATTTAAACCAGTTGAGAGCTGTACCAGAGAGGCCGACCCAGTTTTCCAGGCGCTCTAACAGGATGGAGTGATCGACAGTATCGAATGCTGCACTGAGGTCCAATAGTACCAGCACTGTGGTTCTTCCGCAGTCTGTATTTATACGGATGTCATTAAACACCTTGATAAGGGCGGTCTCTGTACTGTGGTGAGCACGGAAACCTGACTGGAACACGTCAAAGCGGCTGGTCATATCTAAGAAAGTGTTTAACTGTTGAAACACTGCTTTTTCAATAATCTTACTGATAAAGGGGAGGTTTGATATGGGCCTGTAGTTCTGGAGTAGTAGTTTGTCTAAACTGTTCTTTTTCAGCAGTGGTTTGATATTTGCTGTTTTTAGGGACTGCGGGAAAACACCTGACAGAAGGGACGTGTTTATTATCTGAGTCAAATCAGATGCTATGACAGGCAAAACTTTCTTAAAGAAAGCTGTGGGTAGAACATCAAGGCAGCAGGAGGAGGAACTTAGCTGCTGAATGATTTCCTCTAAGCTTTTATAGTTTATTTGGCTGAATTGGGACATTTGGCCAAGATCAATTCCAGTTGGAGACAACTTTGGTACTGAACTTGATATGGATGTATAAACTGATCCTCTGATCTTTAGGATTTTCTCAGTAAAGAAATTAGCAAATTCATTGCAGGCCCTGGTGGAGTGGAGTTCAGGAGCCACGGACACAGGAGGTTTGTTAGCTTGTCGACTGTGGCAAATAAAGCACGAGTATTATTAATGTTCTTGTTAATGATTTCAGAGAAGAAAGATTCTCTTGCATTTTTCAGTTGTAAGCTATATCTGTAAAG